AGTTTTGAATAACCAAAACGATTCTAAAAACGGAAATAAGCATCCGGTTTTCTTCATATTTCACACATCCCATTATTTCTACTAACACAAGATCTGCTGTAAATATGAGATATATCTGTCCACTCTTTCTGCTACCTCCCCCACAAAGGGTCAAAATTTTGAACACCTATGAAGCTCATAAAACGCCAAATTAACATCCGATTCCATTCTGACTTGGCACATCTTAAAATTTCCATCAATACAAGATCTGTTATAAAAATAAGTGATAAAAGTGATCGGACCATTCCTTCTGGTACCTCCCCACAAGGGCTCAATATTTTCAATAACCAAAACTATCATAAAATCCGAAAAACTATCATAAAATCCGAAATAATAATCCTGTTCTCTTCATATTTCGCACATCCCATTATTTCTACTGCTGTGAAGATGAGATATATCGGCTCACTACTTCTGGTAACCAAAATAGGTCAAACCTGGCAAGTCGCAATGGAAAACCTTGGTCCACTCCTTTGAAACCTTCCCCATATAGGGTTCAACTCTTTGGATAATCATAACAGAAGTCAAAATATATTTAAATAATCGAACGTTGGCTGAGGGTATACATCTGTCGGCAAAACCGAATGATACTTTTTAACTTTATAAAAAATATATATTTTTTTTAAATATTTAAAAAAAAAATCTGGGAAAAATATCTTGTTGTAGAAATCGCCACCTAGGCTATATTCTTGACTTTCTTTCTTTCCTTCCTTCCTTGTATTTTTATACCCTCCACCTTGGAAAGGAGGGTATATTAACTTTGTCATTCCGTTTGTAACATCCTTAAATATTCGTCGTAGACCCCATAAAGTATATATATTCATGATCAGCATAAAATTCTAAGTCGATTTAACGATGTCCGTCTGTCTGTCTGTCTGTCTGTCTGTCTGTCTGTCTGTCCGTCTGTCTGTCTGTCTGTCTGTCTGTCTGTCTGTCTGTCCGTCCGCCTGTTGAAATCACGATACAGCCCACATTATTTGACGTAGAGCGCCAAAATTTAGCAGAGCAATTTGTATTGTGTCTAGGATGGTTGGTATTGAAAATGAGATATATCGGTCCACGTTCTGGTATAGTCCCCATATAACGGTACCTTCCGATATTCGGTATTTTGATGATTTATGCCACATTTTTTTACAGATTTGTTTGAAAATTGGTATTTGTAGGTCATAATGGGTTCCCGCTCCGGTGACGAAACATTGCATGTATAGGTCCACGTTTTGGTATAGCCCCCATATAAAGGCACCTCCCGATATTCGGTATTTTGATTATTTTTGCCACATTTTTTCACGGATTAGTCTAAAAATTGGTATATGTGGGTCATAATGGGTTCCAGCTCCGGGGGCGAAACATTGTAATTATAGGTCCACGTTTTAGTATAGCCCCCGTATAAAGGTACCTCCCGATATTCAGTTATTTGATGATGATTGCCACATTTTTTCACGGATTTGTCTGAAAATTGGTATTTGTAGGTCATAACAGGTCCCTGTGCGTGTGGCAAAACATTGCATGTATAGGTCCACGTTGGGGTATAGCCCCCATATAAAGGTACCTCCCGATATTCGGTAATTTGATAATTTTTGCCACATTTTTTTCACGGATTTGCATGAAAATTGGTATTTGTAGGTCATAATGGGTTCTAGCTCCTTTGGCGAAACATTGCATGTATGGGTCCATGATTTGGTATAGCCCCCATATAACGGTACCTTCCGATATTCGGTAATTTGATGATTTTTGCCACATTTTTTCACGGATTTGTCTGAAAATTGGTATTTGTAGGTCATAATGGGTTCTAGCTCCTTTGGCGAAACATTGCATGTATAGGTCCACGATTTGATATAGCCTCCGATATTCGGCATTTTAATGGTTTTTCCCACATTTCTTCTAATGTTTCCTTTACCCTAAGGTGTAGGGTATTAAAAGTGTGGGCCGGCCGAACTTAATGTTTTTTTATCAAAATCCTTTTCCTCTTCTGCCAACAAGAGGTTCCACTGTGCCTTGACCGCTATCGACAACAACTTTGCCAGTGTCATGTGTCCCGAAAAACAACAACATAAACACCAGTACAACATGCTACTTAATCACAACAATGCCAACCGCACTTGTGTTAAGAAGTGCCCATAGGACCAACGATGACAACAACAACAACAACAACACCACCAGCAACTTTAGTTACAAGTTCATTGCAAGAAGGAGAACAAAAACAATGAAGTTAAAACCGACAATAAGTCAACAGAACAACAACAGCAACAACAATTGCAATATCCAACGGCCAGGATGATGCCATTGGACAATGACAGAACTAGAACTAAAAAAAAACAACAACAACAATGATGACGGTGGCAGCAGGACAATAGCCAAACAAGACAGCGACTGTGTTGCTGGCACGGTGCGTGATTTTGAAATTACGCGGCACTTTAAGTGGTCGCGGTAAAGAGAAAAAGAAGAAGAAACAAATAAAAAAGCTGTAAGTTCGGCCGGGCCGATCTTTGTATACCCTCCTCTAATTGGAACTAATTTTGGTAATTTTCAGAAAAAATAAAATCCGTTAAAAATTCTGTGAAAATCTTAAAAAATCCGAATGTAGCCGTTATATTAGGGGCTATACGACGACGTGAACCTGCATAGGCCACTTTTTTCATAAACCATTAGAATATTCAACTGCGAAACTTGAAAGAATCGGTGAATAAAATCGTCAAAATACCGAACATCGGGAGGTACCGTTATAAGAGGAGGGCTATACGAAAACATGGACCTGCACAGACAATTCTATATCATAGGCTGCAGTATCCATTACGAACTTCAAATACCAAATTTGACACAATTCCGGTGAATAATGTCGCTTATATCATCAAAATACCGAATATCGGGAGGTACCGTTATATGAAGGCTACACAAAGACGTGGACCTTCGCAGACAATTTTTTGTCTTAGGCTGTAGTATTCGTTGCGAACCTCAAATACCAAATTCAAAACAATTCCGGTGAATAATGTCGCTAAAAACATAAAAATACCGAATATCGGGAGGTACCCTTATATGGGGCTTTACGAAGACGTAGACCTGTACAGACAATTTTCTGTCTCAGAATGTAGTATTCATTGCGAACTTCAAACACCAAATTTGACACAATTCCGGTGAATAATGTCGCTTAAGTAATCAAAATACCGAATATCGGGAGGTACCGATATATGGGGGCTATACGAAGACGTGGACCTGTACAGACAACTTTCTGTCTTAGGCTGTGGTATCCATTACGAACTTCAAATACCAAATTTTAAACAATTCCGGTGAATAATGTCGCTAAAATCATAAAAATACCGAATATCGGGAGGTACCGTTATATGGGGGCTATACGAAGACGTAGACCTGTACAGACAATTTTCTGTCTCAGGCTGTAGTATCCATCACGAACTTCAAATACCAAATTTGACACAAATCCGGTGAATATTGTCGCTTAAATCACCAAAATACCGAATATCGGGAGGTACTGTTATATGGGGGCTATACCAAAACGTGGGCCTACATAACCCAATTTCAATACCAAGAGTCCTGGTGACATAATACACATTTAAATAAAATTTTATCAACCTACTTCATTTCGTTCGGAAGCTAGAGTGACTTCCACAGATGGACAGACAGATAGACGCACAGATCGCACAGGTCAGACATCGCTAAATCGACATAGAATTTTATGCTGATCAAGAATATATATACTTTGTGGGGTCTAAAATGTATATTTCGAGGTGTTACAAACGGAATGACAAACTTATTATACCATCCATAAATTGTGGTGGGAAACCATTTCTGAGGTTTTGAGACCTCAAAATGTTGTGGCCGGGCCACATTTTAAAGGGTTGGAGGGGAGAGCGGGCTTCATCTATGGATAAATATGAATGTTGATAATTATGAACGGGAACGGAGACAGGGGAGAGACATTAAAAGCTCCAGCGGAACCTCTTTGGTGGGACCTTTTAAAGACTTCTAAACAATTTTTTTGGGGGTTTCTAAATGAAGACCCCATCTGGTCACATCTATGAAGAAGATTATCTTACCCATATGACCCCAAAATTCCTTCAACTTGGTTTTCATGGCATTCGACTCACTTTTTTGTCCATTGTTTTCAAATATTGTTTTGTAATATTTATTGGTGTTTCAATGTGTTTTTGCAAAAAAAAAAGCTTTGTCGATTCACTCCTCCTTGGTCCCAGCTGGCCCAAAGGAAGTGCATAAATTTTCAATAATGTCATTTTAATAGTGTTGCAATTTATTACTACATTTTTTCGTATATCAATTGTAAATTCGAATTCTATTGTATTTTTATTCACAAAAATAAAAAAAAGATTTACGAATGCGATTTATTGGAAATCGTAAGAATGTTTTGAAGAGAGGAGAGATTTCTGAAAAATTATTTAAGGAGAGGAATTATAAACGTGGAGTTTTAAAGAGTTATTGAAGAGATGATCTTTAAATGAGATTTTCTAATGAATTGTTTGAAGAGAGCACTACTACCCAGCAGTCCGCTCGCCATTACAATTTAATACCCATCCGAATGTATGCTATTTTGTCAATAGGAAAAAATGAAATAACAGTGGTTTATAGCATACAACTAGCATCCGATTTGGATGAGTCGCATTGCTATTACATTGTGGAACAAAATCCATATTAGAATTAAAGAACAAAACAAAATATAATAAATTGTGTCCATCGCACTTGCATCTGAATCGGATGCCTTTGTATTGTTTTGTAAGTTTTTTTTTGTGTGTTGTTGCAGCCGGTGTTGTACCGTTATTCATTTTTGATGCTTCTTTCTTTTTAAAAGCAAAATTCTGTGAAGTGTTTTTGAAAGTGCAAGTTGTGAATATTAAAAAAAAAGTTAATAAAATAAAATAGATTAATAAAATAATAATATAGTAAGTGTTGTGTGTTAAATAAGTTAAATAAGATATCAGGATTCAGTACGAGAAATTTAAGACGATTAAAGAAAGTAGAAGCAGACAATTTAAAAAGAAATGTACAATTGAGGACAGAATGTTTGGAAAACAATGATATTGTACTAAATGAGCAGATTCCATGCATTCCAAAATTGTAGAAGATTTTGGAAAATATGTAAGAATATTAAAAAATCTCCGTTGGAATCCATTAATAATTTAATTTCTTTCAGGTTAGTATCATAAAAGTTATAATTTCACCAGATGGCCTTATTAAAATAAGGCCAGATGGTACCCGAAATAAAAAGGCGTTTAAGGAATTTAAACTTTTAAATATGGCCATTTTCGGTAAGTTAACTTTTTTCTTACATATTTATGGAAAAGTGATATTATATTATATTAAAATGAAATCCATTAGTCTATTCTATAGTATAACTGTTTAAAATTAAAATATATTTCTATATTTTCTATCCTTATTTCAGAAGCTGTCCGATGTGAAGGATTCTATGAACAAGATTACGCCAAAAAATTAGAAATTGTTTCAAATTCCATAAGGCCAGACACTTCCGAACAATGTCCTACAATAAAAAAACTGGAAAATTTTATTTTTTCTTTTTCTTTAGTTTAAACTTTGTTTCTTCCCACGTCTTTTGAATAACATTTATGAATTTATGAATTTCTTTTTTATGCATTATTTCTAATTACAATAAGAATATATTATTGTTGAAACACTGTTCTATAACACGAATATTTTAATAAAAAAAACAGCTGAAATTTAAGTTCCACAATTTAAAATGTTGATGGAATCGGACCCATCCAACCTTCGCTTACAATGTTGATAGATTTCGGACCCAACCAACGTTCGCTTACATTGTCGGTCGATTTTGGACCCATCCAACATTCGCTTACATTGTCGGTAGATTTTGGACTCGTCTGACGGCCTAGGCCATCGCTGTGTAAATGTAAGTAGAAATTGTATACAGGCTTTGGATGGGTCGCACTTACATTGTCATTGGTCTCAGATGGAAGATGTATGTGCTAAAAAATCCGCTGGGTAAGTAAACTTCTAATCAGCCCTGTTCAAAACTGTGTTCTAGAACATCAGCCGAAAAAAGAGATAATTTAAGAGAAAATTAAAATCATGTTTTCTTTATATTTGACGATTCCAAGAGAAATTTGAATGGAAAGAGAGAGAGAGAAAGCAGCGCTGCTCAAGAAAAAATATCTCTTTTCATTCAAATTTCTCTTTGCGTAGTTAAATCAAGAACAAAACGGTGTTAAGTTAATATTTATACAAATATTTTTTATCCATTTGCTTTATAAATTATTTTGGCAAAAATTCATGTTTAAAAACAATTAAATGGAAATGGCTGATGTTCTAGAACACCGTTTTGAGCAGCGCTGCTTCTAATTGGTACCACTTTTGTTATGAGAACGGATAGAGCTAAAAACTTGAAATTTAGTATGAGAATCAAGGTTGTAAAGTAAGTTCGATACATGAATGTGGTTTTGGAAATGTGTACTAAGTGGTCGATCTCTACTAAATGGTGCTAAATTTGGAACAATTTGGTTTGGGGTGAACGTATTCTGAACTGGAATTTTGAAATTTGAATCCTTGTTTGCAGTAGGTTTGTGATAAAAAGGTGTTTTTGGAAATCTTTACTACAAGTGCACGAAAAGTACTAAATAGTACTATATTTGGTAGAATTTGGTATTGGGTGAACAGATAGTGTTGAAATCTGAAATTAATTATTAGGGTCGCTGTTCATGTGTAGTCTGGACATATGCAGGTGGTTTCGGAAATGTGTACTATAATTGTACGAAAAAGCCCTAAATGGTACTTAATTTGATATTGGGTGAGAGAATTAAGCTGAAATCCTGGAATTTTATATGTCACTGTATTTCAGATGTGTATGTGATTTTCGGTAATGTGTAAATTTGGTATTGGGTGAGAGAATTGAGCTAAAATCCTGACATTTGATATAGATACCCGTATCTGTATTTAGTAGAGCTGCCGTAACAAAAAAAAATTATATTAGGAATTTATGTAAAGTAGATCATACCAACTATGATCCTTATGTGAAGACGTATCTTGGCTTCAGAGCTGTCATAATTTCGGATCTATATCCAACTTTGAATCGATTTTTAACAAATTTGGCGGAGGCTTTTGTACCTCTTGTAAAAAAAACATAGCTGTAGAGTACACGATATGACTTCGATAAGGATTATTTGAAACCACATTTATTTGAGCAGTAGATATACCGACCTGAGATTCACAAATTGGTAAAATTCGGTTGAATATGAAAAAATCTATTCAATTGGGGCTGATATTACATATCAGCTGTATATCGAAGCAATATAAAAATTTGAACCGACCTCGATAAAATTTGGCAGAGGAATTTTTGAACTTTATCTGGTAACAAAGGTTATTATTGTGGAGTGCATATTGCGCATGTGAGGGACTAAAACCCCTTGTCAGAGCAAACGGGGTCTATAGCTATATCTGAACCGATTTTCACCAAATTTGTACTTGCTTCTGGGCTGAATTCCATCGGAAGTGACAAGTCATTTGGTGCCCAAAAACCTGAAATCGGATAACAATATATCTGGGAGCTATATCCAAATCTGAAACGATCTTGACAAAATTTTAAACAACTATTTTTGAGCTGTATCTGACATCTGGTACCAAAAATTATTGTTGTGGAGTCCCTATTACGAATAAGAGGGACTTGAAACCCCAAATCGGATGAAACATATATGTGAGAGCTAAAGCTATATCTGAACCGATTTTCATCAAATTTGATGTACTTGCTCCTAGACTGAATTTCGTCCGAATTGACAAAATTCAATCAATATCGGTTTAAACTAGTCATTTTGTGCACAAAAATACCCAAATCGGATACAGATATATATGGGAGCTATATTCAACTCTGAACCGATCTTGACAAAATTTAAACATTTAAACATGCATTTGCTATCTGGTACCAAATATCAATGTTGTGCAGTGCATATTATGCATGTGATGGACCTAAAACGCCAAATCGGATGAACTTATATATGAGAGCAGTAGCTATATTTGAACCGAAATCGAAATCGGTTGAAGATAGCTATCCGTTGAAGGGAGCTATATCTAAATTTAAACCGATTCTCACAAATTTTAATGGGGTTCGTCCTTGGGCTTGCGATCCCAGGACGTGTAATGAATGTGAGGGAGGAAGCCAGAACTAGCGATTATGTCTCACCACGGTTGTGCTTTGACTCACCTGACATCCACATACCTGATAGGGACACCTGGACCCGTAACAATCCACCCTTCTGCGACATAGCTGTCTGAAACGGTTTAAAGATAGAATGCGGAGCGGGAACCTGTTGTATTCTGTGACACTCTTAATGTTCGCAAATCCTACATGCTTAGAAATGACTGTAGCGTTTTCCAGGAGGAAATTTTCGCGGTCAAAAAAGCCATAGACCTGTTGGTAACGAGGAACAACGAGATTATCAGTCCGGTGACTATATACGTCGATAGTCAAGTGCCACTGAAAGCCCTAAACTCCTCTACTATCAAGTCTAAGGTTGTTTTGGAGTTCAGGAGATCATTGAAAAACGCTAGTTTATCCACCAAGCTCTGTTGGGTACCTGGTCATTACAATATTCCAGGCAACGATACTGCAGACGAATTGGCTAGACTAGGATCTGAATCGACTACCATTGAAGTTGATAACTCGATTAAACCACCCCTATGCTACTTCCTACAGGTTATTCATAAACAATACTCTGAGAAAATTTAATAAAAAATGGCTGGAAGAAAGGGGATGCAACATATCTAAAAAAGTCTGGCCCACACACTCGGAGAAGAGAACAAAGTCGCTACTGTCATTTTCTAGACCTGACTTAAAACTTGTGGTGGGTACCATCCAGGTCACTGCAAGGTAAGGGCAATGACCTCGAAATGGGACAGCGAAGACATTGATTACTGTAGAATATATCTGGAAGAAGAAGAAATTGAGACCATCGAACATCTGCCTTGCCACTGCTCATCACTCATTAACGTGAGACACAGGTTGGTGGGGGAACAAGTGTCACATGATTTGTCTTCGTTCTCTAACACTGATCCTACAGTATTTCTTTAATTAGCCAGAAGATTTAAGTGGCTAAAGACGATCACCCTCATAACTATTTTTATATCCTCCACCATAGTATGGAGGGTAAATTAAGTTTGTCATTCCGTTTGTAACACCTCGAAATATACATTTAAGACCCCATAAAGTATATATATTCTTGATCAGCATAAAATTCTATGTCGATTTAGCGATGTCCGTCCGTCTGTGGAAATCTATCTAGCTTTCGAACGAATTGAAGTAGATTGATAAAATTTTACTCAAATGTATAAAAATTTGGTATTTGAATTTCGTAATGGATGCTACAGCCTATGACAGGGGATTGTCTGTGCAGGTCCACGTCTCCGTATAGCCCCCTCCCGATGTTCGGTATTTTGATGATTTTAGCTACATTTTTACCGATTTTTTAAGTTTCGCATTTGAATATTGTTATGGCTTATGACATATCTTACCTATGCAGGTCCATGTCGACGTATAGACCCTAATATAAAAGCTATATTCGATATTTTTAAGATTTTAACAGATTTTTTAACGGAATTTATTGTTTTTGAGAATTGCCAAATTCGTTCCAAATGGTGGAGGGATTCAAAGTTCGATCCGGCCGAACTTACAGCTTTTTAACTTGTTTTTTTTTAATACCTCTAACACCTTACTTTTTTCTACTATTCTTCTTTCTACCACAATGGACCTGCAGGTCTCCGAGTGGAGCGGTTACCAAAAAGACCATCTATTTTATTTTTTTTTATCATTTTTTATTTTTCTAGAGAATATTTATTGGAAACATTTCAGAATGTTTTTTTTAATTTTTTTTAAAGAGTTTTTTTTTTTGAGATGCCTTTGAAAATATTATATTAGAAAAAAAACGTCTTTTGCGACTTACTTTGTCCCTCTTTTAAATGAGGAAGAATAAAATCATCCAATATTTCGTTTCGTAACTTTAAAAATTTACATAAAATGGAAATATTTATTTTATTGCTATTTTATTTATTTGCGATTTTATGACCCTCTTGTTAACACTTTTATTCTTGGAAAGGTAAAATAAGGAAATTCATAAAAAATCAATAATCTGTAACATGTTTGGAATTTTATTATGAAAACTTTGTGGTCTAGTACTGTAATTGAATATAATGCGTACTTTACGTTTACGTTAATGTAGACAATTCGTATGCCACTGTGAGTAAAGTTTTCGAAAACATTTCAAATTATTTTGAATTGAAAAAAAAAATATGGAAAAAGTCGCATGTTTTCAACTGAGTTTGAAATTTACATTAAATTAAAAAAAAATAATTTATTTTAAAAAGTTTTTGTAAGATTGAAGGGGGAACGGGGAGGGAGGAGCGTCTCTGCTTTGAACTAGCTTTCATGAGCTACAAGAACTTTTGTAGCCACTTTTTTTCATCGAATACATCCTTTTGGTCTTCCAGCAAGATAGAAAGAGAGAGGAAGAGAGAGAAAACCTACTCTTGACAGTT